TGTATGCTCAGTGTGGGACCACTCATGATTAGGAACTGGGATACTAGAGGTGTCAAGGACAGCAAGCAACATAAAACATCACAGAGACGCTGGAATTCATACAAACGAATGTCTAATGGCAAGGGGACACTCACTCCAGCATAAATTAAAACACACACACACACACACACACACACAAAGAAAGAAAGAACAAATAAGTTGCATATAGGCTTTGGGAACCATGAACTACACAGACAAAGAGAGCAAATGCAAATACAGACACTGGAAAGATGGAAAGATGACGGATGAACTAGATTCCTTTCACATCTCCTAACCTGGAGAAAGGGAATATTTTCGGGAGCAAAAACATTATCTTTCATTTCCTCAGCTGTAGATGCAGGCTGGCTAGTCAAGCAGTGAGGAAGGCAATTTTTCTGTAGAGCCAATATAATGTGTTATTCATGACGCAAGTTCCGTGTGTGCCTGAATTTCTCTACCCCCAACCAGCTAAGGAAACACGACTTCACACTTCCCCAAGCCACCAACAATGCTGAATATCTATTGCCTTCTATTCTTTCTCTCTGTGTGTGTTTTAAGACCAAGTCTCAGGTAGCCCAGGCTGCCCCTGAACGGTCCATATATAGCCAAGGCTGGCTTCCCCTGACTCAATCCCCAAGTGCTGAGATTACTACCCTGCCTGACAAAGTGTTTCATTCCAACCAGCAAGATGGCCCAGTAGGTTACTGTACTTGTGGCCAAGTTTCCACATGGTGGGGGGAGAATTGGCTCTCAAAGTTGTCCACTGACTTACCCGCAAGGCACTGTGGTTCACAGGCACACACACCAACTTGAGGGAAAAAAGAGGCTTCATTCTTCAAACCATTCACTTTGTCAAGACACTTCCCATTCGCTGCAGCTACCTCACGCTTACCTAACACTAGTGCCCAAGGGCTAGCTGCTTTGGCACCTACTGCGCACAGAGGTTAAGGGTCACACAAAACAGGACTGAAAATGTAGCTCAGTCGGCACGACTGCCTAGAATGGTCGAGGCCTGCCTGCACTTCAAGAACATGGAGCTTGGGGGTGGGCAGAGATATCACTTGTTGCCCTTGCAGACGACCCTGGTTTGATTCCCAGCACCCAACTGGGTGCAACTCACAACCCTCCGGCCTCCGAGGCACCAGGCATGCATGCAACATATAAGTCTTATACTCAGGCGAAACATCCGTACACATAAATAGTACTGTTAAAAGGTCTTTTCCCAAAAAAACACCTCTTCCTCTCCTGGCCACTCCAGACAGAGGAAGGTGCAAGAGATCTTTTTTTTTTTTTTTAATTTATTTATTGTTTTTTAATTTTGGAGATTATACTGTAATTACATTATTTTCCCCTTTCTTTTCCTCCTTGTAAACTCACCTGTATACCCCTCCATACTCTTTCATGTGTACGGGTTTTTTTGTTTTTTTTTTTTTTTGTTTTTCAAGAGATACTTCTTGACTGCGTTTGTAAGACAGCCTCACTGTGCGTCCTATGCTGTCCTGTACAGCCCAAGCTGGTCCCAAGCTCTCTCCTCCCCCTGCTCCTGCCTCTCTGGCCAGCGCTGAGATCACAGGCGAGCACCACTGTGCCTGGCTGGGAATGTCATGTAAGTCATTTCATCCCACTCTCTGGGCTACTTTCCAACAGGGAAGCTGGGCAGTGGTTCCTTGGGAAAATGCCCATTGAATACCCTCTACACAAAAATAAGCTATAGTGCTGCATTAGAAGGGAAAGGGCCAGGATGTGCAGTTATTCTTATGGTATGCCCACAACAGCACAAAACAAAACCCATTCACTCCACAGCAGGGAGGAAACCATAAATGTGATGGGCGATTGTCTCTGGTGGAGGGCTGACACGCCGCCTGCCTTCATGGTGCCTGTTTTTCAAGCTGTTTATACAGACCAAGTATTCTTCTGACACAAGAACTGAATTTCTGTTCCCCATAAATCAGAAAGAAAGAATGCACAAAGCCCTGGGCACAGGTAACATGCCAGCCATTAATGCACACATCCTACCAGCTCTTCACAGACTAGCAGGGCACGAGGACGCTGACTCTTTGTCGCTCCCAGCAGGCATGGCTTAGCTGGAGCCAGACAGACATCCAGTGCCATCCCCACTCTCAAAGACCTAAGAGGGTGGGAGATGACAAGGACATGGGACCCTCTTCCCCACCTCCAAGTCCTCTAGGTCACCCAGCTCTTCCTGTGTGTGACAGCTTCTCATCCGGAACTCTGTGGCAACCACCTCTCAGCACCCACATCAACATCAAAGTGATGTTGAGGCCTTTCATCCAGCCAGACCTGGTCCCTCACAGTTGCTAATCACTGGCAGCAGGGGGCTTGCTGGGCCGCCCAAACAAAGTGTCTTTAAGGACCTTGAGCCGCAGGGAGGGCTTCAAGGCCCCTAAAGTACCACAGAAACCTCACCACTTCTGAGAACTCTGTCTGCTTGGAGAAGTAACACCGTGCCACACTGGAGATGTCTACACCCAGCTACAGCCCTTTGTCTTTGGAGACCCTGAATCCTGACTTTGTCTCCCTCACACTCATGTCCTGCTCTGTAACTCATCAACCCTGAGATGTAGGCCTCCTTCTCCGTAAAATTTGTTACTCCCGAAACTTTTTTGTTTGTTTGTCTATTTGTTTGTTTTTGAGACAGTATTTCTCTGTGTAGCCCTGCCTTGTAGATCAGGCTGGCCTTGAACTCACAGATTCACCTGCCTCTGCCTTCAGTGTTGGGATGAAAGGTGTGTACCACCACCTTCCTGGAAAAGAACTCCTTTGAGTTTTCAAGCCTGGCTCTACCCTGACTCTGTCCTCTCCTCACCTTCCTGTGACTCTACAAACTTGGAAACTCCATCACTCAAGAGACTTCCACTCTGGTGCCACCTCCAAGTCTTGCCTACCTCACTCCACAGATTGGGTAGGGTCTCTTGAATGCTTAGTACCACCTGTTCCCTCTGGCATGCACAGCACAGCACCTTGTCACATATGGTACCTGCAGGAGCCAGTGCAGAGGTACACACCTGTAATCCTAGGATTTGGGGAGGCAGAGGCAGGTGGATCTCTTTGAGTTTGAGGCCAACCTGGTCTACAAAGCAAGTCCAAGACAGCCCAGGCTACAAAACAAAACATCCAAAGCAAGCAAGCAAGCAAGCAAACAAACAAAAACCAAGACAAATGGCACCTGCAGACAGAAGCCTGTCCTGTCATGCAGTGTAGGCCCCAGGCCTCTCACCACAGATCCCAAGTTCACCGAGAGCACTACTGCCTCTGACCAGATGACCTAAAGAGGGGGGGGATTCCTGAAATCCCCCTTCTCACAGTGCATCCAGCCCCAAGTGTAGCTCCCCTTACCCCAGAGAATGAATCCACCTTGTTGCCAAGAGCCAGCTCTCCTAAGGCTCTCAGGCATCTATCTCCCTGAGCCCCTGTAACTAAAGATCTCACAGAGCCATAACCATGCTCTGAACAGCCTAGCCGTGTATATGTGCACAGAGGGGCCAAAGGTCAACTTCAAGTGCTGTTCCTCAGCAGCCATCCACTTAGTTGAGAAGGGGTCTCACTTTGGGATCCGAGGCTCACCAATTAGGCTAGGCCAGCCGGCCAGTGAGTCCTCAGGATCTTCCGCTGCTGGGATTATAAGCGCTTACCACTGTGTATGGGTTTTCGAAATGTAGAGTGTAGGGATCTAAATCGGGTCTTCATGCTTACACATTAAGTATCGTACCAAATGAGCTAGACACCCCCCCCCCAGCCCCACTCTTTCTGTTCTGTGCGTGATGGGGTGGTTATGCGGTATGCTTGTATGTGTATTCACATGTGTGTGGGTGCTCATGTGCAGGTGTGTGTGTGCACGTACACAGTCTGTGTACCCTGTAATGCTCACCCTCTCCTGAAGGGAGTACAGACACAAACATGACAGAATACCCAAGACGCTACTCACTTTTTCCCTCTCCCAACCCATTTCAAATTCAGATTGCAGAGAAGCCAAGGATCCTGCAACACTCACAGCCCTTAGGAGGACCTGAGCCCAGTGCAGGCCCAAGTCACAGACCTCAGCCAGTAGTTTCTCAGCTGACTCAAGTTAGCATCTGGAGGCAGAGGGGAGCCTCAGCTCGCAGAATCCTCAGGTCAGCAGAGACCTCACCATACCTGCAAGGTCCCCTGATTTCCAGCACCAGGAATCAGTTCAGACCAAGAAGCTGAAAGCCATCTGGCCACCGGTCTGGTAAAACCCTGGCACAAACAACGGCACTCATAGTGACTGTGGTTTCACCTGGAGTGTCAAGAGATAACGTACAGCAGAAGGCAGTTTTACTGCTGAGCAAAGACTCAAGAGCCAGGAGCCTGAGGTCCCCAGCTGCAGCCCATCTCCCACCAATGTTGGCCATGAAGAGTTCACCAACACTCAGAGCGCCAGCCACCCTGACCTACCCACACATCTGATCAAACTCGGTAGACAGCGTAGAGTGGAGCCTTCACTCCTTACAGCCAGGTTCCTGATTGCCTAAAGGCACAGCAGTTCCATTCTGAGCCCCGGAGGCCTTTTTTGGCTCCTTCCATCCCTATGCTCTTGAGTGGCTCCTGAGAGAGCCACTGAGCCAGAGGCAAGGACCATGGGCCCCTTCCAGAAAGTCCCCAAGTGACACACAGAGAACAGGCTGGGAATCAGTCAAGGCCCTCTGGCCCTCATGACATTCAGCATGAACCAACCTACAATGACAGCCCTCTACCCACCCCAACTGACAGCCCGCAGCAGGGCTAATGCAGAAGTGCCAAGGGTCAGCAGACAGCTACTACTTACACTGGCTTCTGGTGGGAACCCATTCCAGGTGTCCCACTGCAAACAAATGGGAACTCACTCAAGGGGCCCCTGTCCACCCATTTGAGGAGGGACGTGTCTGCACACATGTGGAAACCCACTGGAGAGGCCCCACTGCAGACATGCAGGACCCCCTGGGCCGGCAGAGCAGCCTCACCTGGTAGTAGGTCTTGATGTTTCTCACCAGGATACTCAGGTTCTGGATGCGCAAGTTTACATCATTGTTGACATGCTTGTTGATGCGCTGGTTGCTGGGTCTGGGGTCTCTGGAACAAAAAACAGTAAAACTCACACCTCCAGGCATTCACTTCCCCAGCAAGAGACCAGCATTCAGTTTCATGGGCCTAGTTATTCCCTTGGTGACCATGAGGCCGTAGTTCAATGCCTAAGTTTGCCCACAGCTGTGCCAGAACCATAAGGCGCCCACCATCTCTGCTGCCTCACCCTGCCTAACAGAGCCCCTTTCAGTACTGTTCCTGTTTCCACTGCCTGGAGCACCACGAGGGACATCCAGGTGTCAACACTGAGAACTGACAGATATATACACACCAGGAACTTATACAAAACTGTATTTTAGCATTAAAAAGCCGAGCCAAAACAAAACAAAACAAAACAAAACAAACAAACAAACAAAAAACTGTGAAATACCAACAAAATTAGGGCTGAAGAGGTGGCTCAGCAGTTTAGAACACTGGCTGCTCTTCCAGAGGTCCTGGGTTCCATCCCCAGCACCCACCCTGTGGCTAGAAAGTCTATAACTTTAGTCCTGTGGGATATCCTTTTTCTGGTGTGCAAACATACATGTAGACAAAACAGAAATATATAAATATAAAATAAACAGATCTTAGAAAAAGGAGAGAAAAAAACAAAAACCAAGGGCCCTAATATGTCTTGACGTCGAGAATCACGCTCCAGTCAGCACTCGCCTCCCTGTCATCTGGACCTAGGCTGGTCACCAGAGCTGCAGTGGTGGGTGTCTTGATGACCTGACATCCAGGTGTGAGACGTGACCGCTGTACCATCACACCCCCCAAGAAAAGCTGAGTGTGGGAAACCCCCAAGTGTCACTCATTCCAACCTCAGGCGAAACTCGTGTAAAGGAACTAGAGGTCAGCTCAAGTTCCTTTACTCATCTACATGCAGGACAGTCCCCCGAGCCCTCAGTGTGGGAAATGTCTGCCAAGAGCGAGCAAAGAGGGAAGGGAGCTCTGCTTTTCACAGCAAAGGCCTCCCTCCTTTCTCCTGCTGTCCCAAGGCACCAGCAAGGATGAAGGCCAGGAACTCAAAGGCCCATCTTTTTAGTTTCACAAGTCAGAGGAGGCACAGAGCCTCCTTGGGGCTGGTGGGGAGCCACGAACTAACTGTCAACACTCTTTGGTTCATTCAAGGGCCACGTTAACAGAAGTTGGAGAAAGGGAAAGAAAGAATGCACACCTTGAATCACTTCAGATGTCATCGGAAGCACAAGGCTCTACTGGAACTCAAGCTGTTTAACGGTCGACCTCTGAGTAAATATTTGACATATACTCTCAAGTCTCCACAGTGTCCTAAGCATTTGAGCCTTCCCACACACGATCCACAGCCCCTACAGGCCCTCAAACACCCAGGTCAGGTGACAGTGTTCCTCACTGTCCCCACATCAGGGTGGAGTCTGGTGAAACCATATTTACATGTCAGGATTCTTTTAGGGGCCTTCATTAGCAAAGAAATAAAGGCCTAGAGTGCCATTGAAATTAACTTAGGTGAGCTAGGCAAGGTAGTGCATGCCTGTAATCCCAGCACTCTGGGGGGCAGAGCCAGGAGGATCGTTGTGAGTTTGAGGCCACCCTGGGCTACAAAGACAGTCCAGGACAGCCAAGGCTACACAGAGAAACCCTGTCTTGAAAAACAAGAAAGAAAGAAAGAAAGAAAGAAAGAAAGAAAGAAAGAAAGAAAGAAAGAAAGAAAGGAAGGAAGGAAGGAAGGAAGGAAGGAAGGAAGGAAGGAAGGAAGGGAGAGGGAAAGAAAGAAAGAAAGAAAGAAAGAAAGAAAGAAAGAAAGGAAGGAAGGAAGGAAGGAAGGAAAGAAGGAAGGGAGAGGGAAAGAAAGAAAGAAAGAAAGAAAGAAAGAAGAAAGAAAGAAAGGAAGGAAGAAAGAAAGAAAGAAATTAACATAGGAAAGAGACAGCATTCTGTATTTCAACTATAAAGGCATTTTAGCCACCAGAAGCCTTCTGAGCATGACAAAGAGAGGGGCCACCCTAAGGAATGACCAGCAGCGTCACAGGACCCAAGCTTAAAACGTGAATCTGGCTGCACACACACACTGGGCAAGCACTCACTATCAGGCTACATCCCTACCCTTCCCCCCCTTTTGTGTGTGACAAGAGTCTCATTGTGTGGCCCAGGCTAGCCTCCAATTTATAATCCTCCTGCCTCAACCTTTGAGATAACTGGGATTGAAGGTGTTAGGATACCCAACTGTTTCATCGGTATTTCCACCCTGGATTTAATTTCTTTTCTGAGACATGGTTTAATGTAGCCCAGGCTGCCTCAAACTTACTAAGTAGCCGAGGATGACCTTGAAGTGCTGATCCTCTATTTTCTACCAGGATTCCAAGAGTGTACCAAAACACCTACTATGGGCAGTGCTGGGGACGGTACCCCGGGCTTTGAGAATGCTAGGCAACCATTCAAGGGAGCCACACCTGATGCCTCTCTAGAGTTCACCTGCGTCAGACGGGCCACTTCAGGCGTACTGGGCACCCAAAGCGTCAGCGCGCACCACTGGTAGCCCCTAGCTTGCAAAGGCCCTGCACACACCCAGGACCTGGGACGCGCAAGCCACATCTGCTTTTGTTCTCTCCAGGCACGGGGAGAAACAGCTAACTGAAGGAACACTAGAAAAGAACCATGACATTAGTTATATGACTAATTAGACTAATTATCATGCTCATTAGTATCCCTCAGTTAACTAAGTCTCTCAGGGTAAAGAGAGCTTCTATGAGGAAATAAACCAAAAGGTTCAGCATTGCTTAAGGAGGGCAACTCCCCTTTCTACCCACTCAATGTCTACTCTGGCTGCTAGAAATGGGGGTCAGATGCCCAGGGGTCACAAGAGTTTGAATAATCGACAGCTGGGGTTAGTTTGCTACCATCCTAACAAGGGCAGAAGTCAGCAGGCAGAACCCCTAGTCCACTGAGGCTCCTCTCACAAGCACAGATGCACCCAACCCCTCGGAACACACTAAGGACATCTGGACATTAATACCCACCATCTTGCTTAGTCTTCCCCTCATCTACACAACTCTATCCCCTTATCACACATCGGGAAACCGAGGCTTGGGGGAGTAGGGCAATGTACCAGAACTGGTGAGTGATGGAAGCCAGTGCTTCCTGCTAGCAAGGCTTCCAGTTTCCCATCAGTCCTCACAGACAAGAAGAGGAAGATAGCCTGTGATCCAGACCACTCGTGGACTCTCTCACTCGGGAATCCTAGTCCTGGTCCTCTCTTGATAGCTGAGCCCTGGCCAGGGCTTTCCTGCTTCCAGGTGAGCCTGGTGTCAGAGAGGCCAGGGCCAAGAGACTAGTACCCAGCCTTCTCGGGTTGCTGCAGACAATGGCCAGGTGCAGTCACGTGACCAAAGGCAGCCTCCAGAAGGCTCTGAAGTATTAGGTAACAGCCTCTTATCTCAGCCCTCCCCAACCCAATCAGCCACAAGGCTCTGCCATTTCCAAAGACCACATCCTCCCAACCGGGGAGAACTGATCAAAAGTAGCACAGCAGCAGTCAGGCACCCAGCACCAGGAGGAGGAAACACCCACCGATCACTGGCCGAAGGGGAGACTAAGGCCCAGCTGAAGTAAAGTCAGCCTGCACATCACCAGGAAAAGACCAGGGCTGAGAATCATGTGGTCGTTCAGTGCTGAGCACAGAAGAAAGTGGCCCAGCAAGTCAAGGCATGTGACGCCAGGTCTGAGGTCAATCTCCAGGAACCACACCGTGGAAGGAGAAAACCAACTCCTGCAAGCTGTCCTGATTCCGCACGCACACAAAGGCTCTCTCTTACACACACAGTTTTAAGCAGACTGAAGAAACCAGGCACTCTGTGTATGAGACTGACCCCAACGTCTGTTCCCCGCCAGTACTGAATAGGTGCTAACACATCATCTCATTTAGTCCCCAGGACCACCTCCTTAGGGCAGAACTTCCTACTTCTCAGAAGAAACCGAGGCACCTAGCAATAGTCTCACTGTCGCACTGCTTGTAGGAAGAGGACCTTGGGTTCAAGCCTGGTCTGACCACTTCCGATGCTCAACACTCGCTTAGGGTTCTTTTTAGCTTTTTGCTTTCTGTTTGTGTTCCGAGATAAGGTCTCAAATAGCAAAGCCAGGCCTTGAACTTGCTATCTAGCTGAGAATGGCCTTGATCTCCGGACTCTCTAATTTCAAGTGTTGACTATGCACCACCACATATCATCTCAACTTTTTGAGATGGCAGGTCTGGAACCCCCATTTCTATTTTAACCAGGTTACTAATACAACAAGAAAAATGTGTGCATCTTAAGTCACAGCCCTGAGTTTGGGAGAGTACATTCCACAGAGCCATTCCACAGCCCGGTTGGCAGTCAAGCCCCTCCCACTTCCGGAGGCAAACACATTCTGACTCCTGTTACCTGGTGCCAAGTTATGATCCCTGAGAAGCAGAACATTATGACTGGCAGGTCCTGCGCCCACTCCTGCCTCTCTTTCCTGGCACAGGAAAGGCTCTCATTGTCTCTGCGGCTGTCCCAGGATTGCCGCACACCTACCAGATCCTTCTTCCAGAATGATCGCACTTACATATCACTGAACTGCCAGGGAGGAGGGCAGCTGACCCTTCCCCAGAATTCATGCAAACAAATGATGAGTTGGCATTTCTCGGAAAGGTCCAACAGGCTTCCCTGATTTACAAGCAGGCGGTAAAGGCCTCAGGAATTCCAAAGGTCAGGGAAGAAAGAGACTTGGTCCCTGGGCTTTTGTTCTCCCCTGTGCCTGGGTGTAGCTAAGTGAAAGACTGGAGGACACTGCTGTGATTTTTAATTAAACAGCCTCGAGCTTTACAGGGACAGACAGGCTGTATGGTCCTTACACCAATGGAATCCAGCCATTCTTGGGGTCTGACAGAATGGGGGTGGGGGGAGCGTGGCCAGAGCCCAAGCCTGCCTCCAGACCGCCCCAGTAAAACTCAGTAAAACTCATTCTCATAAGGGTCCTTTGGGAAGCACCTCCAAAGCCAACAGCAAATGTATCTCTTTAGTATATCAGACACTGAAGACTGTCCAATTAAAACAACAACAAAAGGAAGACAGGGTCTCCACCACTGTGAATCAAATGCCCTATGAAAAGAAACAGAGCCATCTAATTGGGAAACCACCCCCTCCCCGTGGTCCCCAGCCATAAACGGGAGTGACTGGATTACTGAGTGTGACACCTTCGTCAGTCCTAGGTGAGTAAAGGCATCCACAGCGCACACTGAGGTGTTTTATTCTGTTCCAAGCGCCTGTGACTCATCTTGCCACTCACTTCCAATACGATCCCTGATCCCTGAAGCTTCTGAGTGAGACACAGAATGCAGAGGTAGGAGCCAACCCTTACACGGTGGTGAGATGTCAGACAGACACTGGCTCTGCAGAACTCGGCAACGGATGTGGTCAGAGGTACGGGGCGGCAAGCACTATCTACGAGATTACGCTCTTTAAGGCCAAGCGGTCCAAACACAGCATGGTTGCCTGTGTGCCTCCTGAAGGACACTTCTCAGCCCAATTCACACAAGCAGGCTTAAGGACTGCATCTGCCCCAGCAACTGGGAAGAGAAGGGAAGGAGACTCAGAAGCTCAGCTCCCAAGCCAGAGTGAAGCTTGAGCCAACACCTCGACCCACCGGACATTTCCTGTTGTCAGACCTTCTTTACAGTTCTGTGTCCCTCCGAAAAGAAAAGGGACTTTTCTCAGACCAACCATCAAGTCCCTGAGTTTGCAAATGAGTCAAATTCCAAATTTGCTAGGTCCAGTGGACCACCAGCAGGGAATCCCTCCCCGGCCACCGGGCGTTCGCACTACAGTCTTATGGTTCCTAAAACATCCTCTCTGAGGAGGCAACTTACATTTGCAACATGATTTGGTTCAGAAAGATGCCGTCCACTAAATCCATGTACAGAGTCAAGTTGTCCTGGTGGCCGCTTCCAAATGGGCCAAAAGTTTTCACCTGCGGGGAAGCAAAGGCACGTCCGTTTGACGAAGGGGGACAGATGGGCCGGGGAGGTAACTCACCACCTCCTCACTCTTCCCACCCTTCCCGAGCTGCTGTCCCTTCCCGCGCCAGGCAACAGACGCCGGACAGGAGGAAAACTTCTGGCTACTTTTCTCCAGCGTCCCAGAGCGCCAATAAAAAAAAAAATTAAAAAAATAATAATAAATAAGAAATAAAGGGGACTTTCCAACAAATTTCTCACGTCTCAGATGCACTGGAAAGCAGCGCGGCCAGCACGCCGATCGGCGTTACCACTTGGCGACCCCACGGCGAGTCTCTAGGCTTCAGGATGGTCACCCCCGACCCCCGCCCGCCACGACAGCCGGGAACAGGTGCGCGCTCCCGAGAGGGAAGCCGCGGGACGCCCGCCCGCCGCGGAGCCTCCCGGTCCCCGGCTCCAGAAAGGACGCGCTCACCCAGGTCACCAGCGGGCTCTGCAGGAACAGCTCGACGAGCTGCGACACCGTCACGTCCATGCTGAGCCGCGGCCGCGCCGCACAAAGCGGCTCCGGCAGCCGGCGGCGGGCGCGGGAGACAAAGGCGGGGCGCGAGCCCACGGTGCGCGGCTGCGGCCCCGCCCGCCCGGGGAGAGCGAGGGGGTGGGGGCGAGGGGGGAGGGAGGGCAGACGCGGCCAGTCCTCCGCCTCCCGGCGCCCTGCGCGGCCGAGCTGAGCCGAGCTGAGCCGAGCGGGGCGGGGGCGCGTGGGGAGCGGGCACCGGAGCGGGGCGGGGCCACAGCACGTGGCGGCCCGGGCGCGCGGGCAGGTGCAGCCTGCGCGCGCAGACCTGGGCGCGGTGCTGGCCGGGGCGGCGGAGGCTCGGTGGGGTCCCCGGGCTGCAGGATCGCGCACCGCTGCGCCCGCGCAGCGCTCTCCCGGGCTTCTCCCTTTCCAGAAGTTCCCCCGGGAGGCTGGCGGTGTGGCCGCCCACCCGTGTGCGCCCCTGCTGTGGCTCTACCCTTCCCCTCCCTCCCCCATTGCACCGGGTGGTGGAGAGTCGGTCCTGGCCGCAGTGCGCAGCAGCAGCTTGGCAGCTGGGGCCCCAGCACTACGGACGCCGTGCCCCCTGCTGGCAGGGCTGTGTGGACGCCTCGCAGCCCCACATTTCTCACCACTTCCTGGTAATAACTTAGCTTCCCGAACTGGGCCGTTGTTCCGCGGACGCTCTGTGACTGACGAGTTTAATCCTCACTGTGATGTGGGAGTGTTAACTCGAAGCCACTGGCAGAGGCTTAGCGAGTACACACCAGGTACTCAATAATGGCTGCCCTTTGGCTAGGAATTTTGTAGGGTGGCTTTTGTCAGATGTTAGGGCTGCGACATCTGCTGATGACATGCGGTATTACAGTTCTGCCTGGCTGGAGCGCACGTTACTAGTCTATGCAGCCTTGGCTGTCCTGGAACTCTCTGTAGACCTGGCTGGCCTTGAACTCACAGATACGCCTGCTTCGGCCTCCTGAGTGCTGGGACTAAAGTCGTGTGCAACCGCCCGGCTGCAACCAGTGCTCTTAAATTTGTCTTTACTGATCTCCTTTTCTTGGTTGAGCTACTGCTTTTAAGTCCCCCTACACTCCCAACCAAGTGTAGCAGAGAAGCTTTTTCTCAATGCTGCCCTACCAAGGTTGGCTACAGACCACGTGGCTGTGAGGAATGTGGCCTACGGGTGGATGGGAGTTGACTGCCACTGTTTTTATCTGTAGCCCTTCTTTCCAATGTGCCTTTGATTATTCTTGAAGTCTGAAACTGTTGGTCTGGGTACCCTAGCTCATTTATTGAGATTTGCATGGTTCTCTCTCACTGCTTGGTTATCTGCTTTTAACTGGTATTCCATTCTTGCTGAATAGACTCTGAATGGCTAAGAGCAGTAAATTTCAGATGCTGATCAAGTATTTAGGAGTGGAGATGTAGCTCGGTGATTGAGGCAACATTCGACTACTGTTACAGAGGGCTAACTTTGGCTGGTGGTAGAGCACTTGCTCTGGATTTGACTCCCCAGCAACGCCCGACGCAAATACAGATATTAAATACTGATCATCCATTGACGATGTCACTGGGATAGCTATTTCACACACACCCTTTCCTTTAGCTTCCCTTTGCAGTTTTCAGTACTGGTCAGGATCAAGAAACTTAAAACTTCTGTGCTCTTGCCGGGAACCAAATTCAGTCTCCAACACTGCAGGCAAGTGTGGCACCACTAAGCAACATCTCTAGCCTCTACATGCTGTCAACTACTGGAAACTGGCTAAGGGACATCTGAGCAATCAGTGGACAGGTGGGACTCACATACTGTAGATTCCTGAATGCTCATTTGTCCTGTTTATGGTCCTCCTACCTTGCCTTACTCTTCTCCCAAGATGGACTCTCAAGTATTTAAATAGCAATGCTGAGAACCTCCAAACACTTACTTTTCCTGGGTTCTTATCCGCAAAGTCTGTGCCTCTCAGAGCCAGCCCCTCTGGACATCGTGAAGGCTGAGAGCATGCCACGGTCTCCCACCTTCCTCTAGAGCAGTGGTTAAGTTACAAGAGCATACAAACTAGTCATTTTGTATGAATTCCATTTGTACAATAAAACTTATCTAATTTTCTTCCTATATTAACAGAAGTTTGTGTGTATGTGTAGGCAGTGGCTTGTGAATACATCTGTAGCCTGGACTAAATCACCAAGATGCTTGTTTCAAAACTACGTAGAAGCCATGTGCAGTGGCACATGTCTGAAGTTCCAGCTACTTGGGAGGTGAATTGTTTGAACTCAACCTGTGGAAAACAGGATTCAAACAATGGGGAGTTGGCCCCAGAGGCACACACTGGAGAAAAATGCGATAGGATGAGGCAGGATCCCAAATTCAATGTCAGCACGAATTCTGTCTCTGGTGGTCTGTTGGGTATAGTGGCACAACCAGGAGATAAAGGCAGGATAATGAATACAAGGCTATCCTTTGCTATGTGAACTTATACCAGCTTAGAGAAACTTTAACTGCACTCACACTACACTCTTCAGAGAGAGAAAGGGTAGGGCCAGAAAAGATTAGATTTTAGTAATTATTTACCATCCCCGTTACCCCGAAGAATTCCTGTGTTGCCCTAAAATTTGCTGACCTCAGACTGAGATCAACTTGCCTCTGTCTCTGGGATTAAAGGTGTACACCATCACATCCAGCAGGAATTAATAAAATTTATCCAAACCACATTAGCAATACCAATAAGAGTTCCAGTTTCAGCACAGCACGCTGGCACACACCTGTAACCCCAGCACTCAGGGAGGCAGAAGCAAGCAGATCTCTGTGAGTTCGAGGCTAGCCTTGTCTGCAAAGTTAGTTCAGGCTACACAAAAACACTATCTCAAAAACAAAACAACAAAAAGTTCTAATTTCAGTTTGGAGTCCTCCATTTCTATCCACTAAATGGGGAAAATCGTGTAAGCCATCGGTTAGCAGAGTGAGCACATTTCCAGGGAGCCACACTGAGGTAGTTTCCTTGGTATGAGGTGTTACAGATGCAAAGTTGAAACAAGATAGAGCTTTCCTTCAAGGTATAAATAGGGTGTCTGGGTAATATGTTGAAAGACCAGAGGGATGTTCTGATGAAATTCCATACAGGATCTGGGTACAGCTGGACAACAGCAATCAAACATAACCCATTGACAACTACCAAGATAGCATTTTTGGGTGCAAGGATGTTTCCCAGTGTAATTATAAAGCTTTCATTACCTCAGGAGATACACTACAAAATGAGAGCTCATTGATATCATTAAGTGAAAATCATTTATACTATATACATACCAGGTTCTAAGACCGTACTTGGCCTTAGGAGTGTTGACTTGGGGCTGGGTGTGTACTCAGTGGTACAGCATGTGCTCAGGGCAGTAGGGTCCTGGGCTGAATCCCCAGAATGGAAACAATGCTGTAGCCATTTAGTTAAATTTCAAATCTAGTGATTTCTGGCTAATGGTAGATCTCCACTGGAAGTTCCTTTTTACCTATTATAGAGCAAGCCTTCATCAAGTTTACTTACATAACTATAATAACCAAGAGCTAAGAAAGCAATAACCTGAAAAGTATGGCCAAAGGTTAACCCAGATTTCTTTAAAAGAACTGGATGATTTATGAACATATGAACATTATGAAACAAGTGATGAGTTTGTCCTAGAATATCAAAGCAAGTGTTCCAAGAATCATTCTTCAAAGTCAGGAGGATCTTTGAGTATAGCCAGAGAGGCTTTCTTGAAAAAAAACAAAAAAACGTTTAAGACATCACTAGTTGGCACAAAATATTCTAGGTAACAGTGAAGACAGTATTGACTTAGATCTTACTTCTTTTCTCTATGTAAGCAAGGAAAGTTGGTTAAGTATGGTTGCACACACTCTAGAGACAGAGGCAGGTGGATCTCTGCAACTGGTTTACATAGGGCACTCCAAACAGCCAGGGATACACAGTGAGACCCATTCAAAACCAAAACACAACAGAAAACAAGATAGTTGTTAATTCCAATTATTAACAGCCAAAATTTCTCCCTCAGAAGTAGCTATGCAGAGCTATGAACCCAGCATTCAGGAAGAGCATGATTGCTGCTACCTAGTCAAGGGTAGTTTGGTCTAGGTAAGAGTCCTAAACCAGCTAGAGCCACATAGTTAGAGACTACCTCAAAAGATCAAAAAGGGAGCTGAAGAGCTCAGTGGTTAAAAGCACTTGTTGCTCTTACAGATGACAAGGACTTAATTCCCAGCACCCACTTGCTGGCTCACATCAGTCTCTTAACACCAGTTCCAGAGGCTCCGACTTCTGACCTCTCCAGACACTGCAGACATGTAGCACACATACATACATGTAGGCAAATAGCCATTAAAGGGCTGGGATTAAAACATGGACTACCACTGCCTGGTTAAAATATAAGTATCTTTTATGTTTTTCTGAGACAATGTTGCCTCAAACTCAAAGATCCACCTGCCACAACTTCCCAAGTGCTGGGATTAAAGGCATGCAGCGCCCCCCCCAACATATTCTAAAATTCTTATTGTTACTAAGGAGTAACTAGGAAAGGAGCACAAAATGCTTAGATGGATACTCAAAGTATATCCATAATAGTATTCTCTCCTGAGTATAAAATTTTACTCACTAGCAACTATAAAATTCTACTTTTCATTTTAAAAGAGCGAGAGTTCTAGAACCCAGACATTCTCCCATTTCCCCGAAAACACTGCAGTATATCTAAAAGTAAAGACTATTATATATATAATTGGTGGTGATGGGAGCTTAAATAGAAACTGCCCCAGCTTACTCTACCACGAAAGCTACACCCCACATCCCAAACCACTGTTTTACGGTCCTTGGGTGTTTACTTAGGTACCACCACTTACAACTTAAACTGGTATTCCAAAGGGCATATGTTAAAAAAAGAAAGAAAGAAAAGAAACATACAATTAATACAATTTCTCTTACTCTTCACTTTTCTTTTTATTATTCAAAAGTCAAGTATTACTTTTAAATCATCCATCCTCA